GTACTAACTGAAGATATGCAGCTCAGGGTCGAATAGATCTGATACAGCTGGCATCCGGCGTGTGCAGGCATTTCAGGAACATCACGAAAATGGAATGCCCGGGCGATTTTGGTGTCTTTGGTAGAGTTCTTCGGAACGGGTGAAAAAAACGTACCCAGAAGAAGAGATTGAGGAGGAAAACGATACTGCGCAACGTCCGGAAGCAGCCACCCCTCGGATACTGGTGCTGTGATGCTGCCATAGTGTGTTTGTGTGAAGCACTGCAAAACGGGAACGAAGAAACAAACTGAGAGGGAACACAGTTCCAGCAACAGCAGCAGCAGCAGGCCCTAGCTCCTAATCCAAGTTCAGACCCTCGCTCCCTAACAGAGCCACTAAATCGCTCCCCGGGGAGAGTGCTTGGACACGGCTGCCAGATGGGCAATGTACTTCTTCCAAGCATCGGAATTGAGGCAAAAGAGAACGCACAAAGAGAGGCTAGTGAGGTACAGGATACATGAGAAGCAGATGCTGTTGCTGTTGTTGTTGCTGATGACGATGATGATGGTGATGACGATGGTGATGATGACAATGATAGTGATGATGATGACGATAATGTTGTCACAATGCTGATGGTGATGACAACTGTGGCTTACTAGTTGCAATTTATTTTTTGAATGATTGGAATTTTTCAACAAAACAAAGATGCTGAAAGGACAGCAGCGGAGAGCGGCCTAGCGGAAGTGCCTGCATCCTCATTCCCGAGTCGATTTGCACCTTCCTGCCCTCCCTCCCACCCCGTCCCCCTCGTCCACCTCCCTTCCTGTGTCCCTCCGTTCCCTCACATACGAAAGTCATAAACAGTTGGGATGTCGGGAAAACTTTTGGGATTTCCCGGTCGCCCCATTGTTCTCTCCCGTTCCCCTGCTATACCTAAGTGATAAGTAAACGGTTTTCCTAGAATACACATCTGAAAGTTATAAAAGACGTACAGGAGCATTAGCACGGCAGTGCTGAGAAGCGTTCGGATATCTGAAATTTTTTGAGATTTTCTCTAGTCGACGCTTACAACTGCCGGGTTTTTCAAATCCTATAAAATATTCAGAATTCCCCCAGAAACCCCGGCACCATATTTTCGTCATTTTTCTAGGATGGTACAACTGATGAGCTTCATAACAATTTTGACTTAAAATAGGACGTGGCATAGCTGCCCCCAGGCGTTTGGGAGCACCCCAGAAATATCATTGACATGGGATACACATACGGTTCTTGGAATTACTGGTACTTAAATATGAGATAATCTTTCTCATTAAAAAAAGGCAGCGAGTTGTTCCTTACCCAATTGACGTTCACGCCTGCCAAACTTTCCGTAACTTGCAAAACACCAGAATTTTTCCAGAAACATTACGGCAATACTTATTTCTTCGAAATTATTCAAAAAAACATCATTGGCTCGAGACGGTAGCCTACAGCGATTGGGTCAGCTATAGCTACATAACAGATCCAGTAAAACTCACAATAGTCAAAGATCAAAAGTCAAAATTTCTTCCGTTTTTCACTCTTCATGAAATGGGGAAACACTCGGAAGTAGTCCGAATGGTAGCAAATACCCTACGAGGCAATTATCCGTTGGAAAGGCTATTGATGGCTCCCTCTTTGAAGGATTGCTTATGAGCATGCTGATGACGGATTTAACTCACAGGCATATGCCAGTACCAATTTATCGTCGAAACGACTAAAAGAATCACAGAGCGAATCGTTGGTGGAGTCGAACCTTCGATCTTCAAGAACCGAGGGCAGCGCTGTC